AGTGGTAGTAGTCGTAGTAGTAGTAGTAGTAGTAGTAGTAGTAGTACGAGTAGTAGTAGTAGTAGTAGTAGTAGTGGTAGTACTAGTAGTAGTAGTAGTAGTAGTAGTAGTAGTAGTAGTCGTAGTAGTAGTAGTAGTAGTATAGTAGTAGTAGTAGTAGTAGTAGTAGCAGCAGCAGTAGCAGTAGAAGTAGTAGTAGACGTAGTAGGAGAAGCAGGAGCAGTCGTGATGGTGGTGGCGGCGGTGTAGCGTAGCAGGAGCAGCAGCAGCAGCAGTCGTAGTTGTACTGTGGTAGGCAGCAGTCGTAGTAGTAGTAATAATATATATATATATATATATATATATATATATATATATAGATATGTATATATATATATATACATATCTTAGCGTGATGGTGCTGGTGGTAGTGTAGTGTAGCAGGAGCAGCAGCACAGGCACTCGCAGCTGTACTGTGGTAGGCAGCAGCCGTAGTAGTAGTAGTAGTAGTAGTAGTAGTAGTAGTAGTGGTGGTAGTAGTAGTAGTAGTTAGCAGTAGTAGTAGTAGTAGTAGTAGTAGCAGTAGTAGTAGCAGTAGTAGTGGTAGTTGTTGTAGTACTAGTAGTAGTCATGATAGCTGTCATCCAACTAATTGTCAAATGAACGATGACTCAATATCGCAACAGAACCAGCAGTCAAAGCTCTGATAATTACAACGGCGAGGACAACAGAACCTGTAGTCCTCGCCAAACCTACAGCACCAACTCAAGATTGCCGAGTAAGCGGTGCAAACATCGCACATAGGGCACCGATGGAACCTGAATGCACCTTGTATTGTGCATGTCATCTGCTCGGCTCTCAACACCAAAGCATGCGCCTATGAAGACTTAAGCGTCTACACTTTGAATGGTTTCGGGTTCCGTTTCCTGGGTGCAACCGCAATCTCTGAACCGATCCCATGGCATTGCCCGTGGCTACCTTTGTACAACCCTGCAACCCTCGGCACGAAAAACCTCAAACCCGCCTGCCCAAAACCGCTGCCAAAACGAAACGATTGTGTTGTTCCTCAGCAGCTCGTTGGCCTGAAATTCGGCTCGGCTCCTGACCCCGGTTGGCGCACGTGATTCTTCCTGTGGCTGGATGGGTGGATGGAAGGGTGGATGAATGGGTACGAAGGTGTCAAGGTAGACGCATATGCAAATCATGTCCTATGTCAGCAAGTAAGCAAGCAAGGGAGTATGTGCATACACACGTCTACGTTGACATGGAAAACCGTCGGCCGTAGGGCAATACATCCATCGAAAATACGGTGGAACAGGACAAGGTTGAACGATTTGTATCCTTTTGCGTACATGTTAGTATATGTACTCGTGCATGTATAGTACCAATATACTTCTACCGGGCGTGAAGGTTAATACAAAGGCAGACGCAGATATAGATACAGATAAATATACAAATAGGCAGACACATAGACAGAGACACAAAGAGACAAATCATGCGGAACATACAGTTGAACGCAAATGCATGCAAGAATGTTTGTACATGGCATAGGTGGGTAGGCTAGAGACAAAGAGAAAGCATTGGAAACATGAGCAAGAAAAATAACACAAACAGAGCCGGACAGAGGGAGACAGTGAAAGACACAGACTGTGACAGAGAGAGGCAGACTGAGACAGAGGCGGAGAAAGTCAGAGACAGAGCGAGACTGCGACCAAGAGAGCTTGGCAGAGAGAGGTAAAGGCCGTGGGAGGTCGAGGCAGACAGAGGGTGACAGTAGCACTCAACATACATGTGTGGCCAAAGGCCAATAGCCGCATGCCGCATGATCTCACCAATAAACTAGTTCAATCCTTTGGAAGCAATCCAGGTTTCGAGCCAAAGTACAGTGAAGAGGAGGCGACGGATTCGTACACTAGGCTCAGCGTCATGTAAATCACAAGACGGACAAAGAAAAGGAGACATGGAGACCCACAGGAGAGGAGGAGACCGGAAGCGAGAGCGAGGAGAAGAGAGACGTTGAGAGAGGAAGGGATAGAGGAAGAGAGCAGCAGAGAGAGAGGAAGAGAAAGAAAGGGAGCGCAAGAGACATGAAGAAAGCGCGAGAGGGAGAGAGAGAAGCTAGAAGATGGAAAGAGGTACAAAGAGGAAGAGACAGAGAGAAAGAGAGAGATCGCAAGGGACAGAGAGCAAGTAAGAGAGAGGAGAGAGAGAGGGCGTGAGGGAGAAGGGAATGGCGATTGAGAATAAACACAAGGATGGACAAGGCACTGAATTCTGGGAAGTTGCAGCGACGGATCAGTAGGACACAATAACAGACAGAGTAAGCCAACAGTATGGAATGAGTAGAAAATGCTAGAGGTTGCGTTGTAGCATGCTATGATGACAACACGATTTAAGAAGAACATCAATACATGAAGTCAGCGGAGACAGACATACTAGCGTTACTAGAGCATACAAAGACAAAATGGTCTCAATATGAGCAACAAGGGTGCAGCAAGATGCAACAGCACTTTATGACATTCCATGGCGTCTAAAACGCCATTGTCCTCATTATTAGCTAACCAGGCATTGGGTAGTCCGTTGATGCCTTGAAGATTATTCCGGCCAAAGCCAGTGCAAATGTGTCTAAGTAGAGGTCTGATCAAGGGGAGAACCTAAAACCTTCATTCAACTATTCAGTCCGTACCGACTCTGTCTCTCTTTCCCTCTTTATCGCTTTCACGGCTCTCACCAGGCTAGGCGGCTAGGCCCGCCCTTCTATAGAAGGCATGCCCGGGATCAGTTTTCTCGCTCTCCTTCTCTGGTTTTGGTCGGAGTTGTCCGAATTGGCGGTTGTATTCGCAGCACATCCGACACCCAATGATTTCAAGAGCGAGTGCCACAACAATGTGTGAGTTGAGCTCCTTTCCCAAAACAGTCCTCATCCTAAAGACTGCAGGAAACTGCAGCGCAGCAACATCAGTATGCGGAGCGCAAGCCGAAGGCACGACAAAGAAGCATTGGCGAAAAGAAGCAGCAAAAAGAAGAACCCTAGCACGAGCTTTTGTCCGCTGAAAATTCTATTCTGAATCTTGTAGCTTGGGATTGGAGGGGCAGAGATTTGAGTTGCGCAGTAGCAGGTTAGAACGGTCAGAACACATCAAGATGCGCAAAACACGACTTACATCCGTGTGATTCCATCCTTTAGCGTGACACTCAGGTAGGTGGGCCCAAACCTCAAGCCCTCAATCCCTCCCCGCGCCTCAGCACTGCGTCAGCCCCCAGCACAGCATTGGGAGCCGAGGCGGATCGCGCCAGAACACGGCCCTCCTGATCGGATCGGATTGCACCATCATCTCTTCCTCACCGCCTTCTTGTCATCCGAACTCCTCACGCTTCGACACCACACCAGCACCAGCCCCATCAATATCGCCATTACAACCGATATTCTCGATAGTATCGCAATCATCATCATCATCATCATCGTCATGCTCAGTGCTGCTATAGTGTATAGTCATCGCCATTCACGTCGGCTTTTCATCTCCATCCCGCTCCTCTCCTCCTCTTAAGTTCTTCGTTCCTGCTATGAAGCAACCTGTGGGACACTGGCAGCGTTCTTGCGCGTGAAGTCCCACCATCCTGAAACAGGAGGGAACCCGAAAGCTTCAGCCGCGGAGCCATCCCTGCCGGCAGCGCTTTTTCGAGGTCGCCCAGCTCCGCATCGATCCTTTCTACAAGGATTCCCGGGTCTAAGTCTGGACCTTGTTCGGGATTGCTGTGCAGATTTTCGGCAGCTGTCTAATCACGCAAAGCATTTCGTTCAGCAGGGGATCCGACTGGAAGTGAAAGGATATTTCAGCGTGCAGTACTTGAGACAGAAATCGATTCACCCACCGTTCTACTTTCTCCGGTACCGTGTCCCTCTATCCTTTGCCAACTGCGCGGCACCTCTTCTGATGTTGCCAATCGCAGATGCCGGCCCGCGACAATCCTGCTCTTCTCAGACCCCGGATGCGCAGAAACTGAGGGTGGATCAAGAAAAGCCACCGTCACAGAGAATCAGCAATAGTGAAGCAGTAGCAGAAGCAACAACGGCAGAGGCAGCAGCAGTAGTCGCAGCAGCAGCAGCAGAAGTACTTCTGGAAATGCAAGTAGCAGTTGAACTTCAACTACAACTACGACTACTACTACTGCTACTACTACTACTACTGCTACTGCTACTACTACTACTACTACTACTACTACTACTACTACTACTACTACTACTACTACTACTACTACCACTACGACTACTACTACTGCTACTACTACTACTACTGCTACTACTACTACTACTACTACTCCTACTGCTACTGCTACTGCTACTGCTACTGCTACTGCTACTGCTACTGCTACTACTACTACTACCACTACTACTACTACTGCTACTACTACTCCTACTGCGCGCCGCCACCACCACCACCACCACCACCACCACCACTACCGTCACCTGGCATGCGGAACTCTCTGGCATTCAAGGTCCGACAGCTGGTTCGAGCCTCTTTATGCAAATCCTTCTTCCAGACAGGTTTGTCAGCACACGCAGCTGCATATTTTAAACAGAAAAGGACACCACGGTCCTCAGCCCGATTGCCTCAACCAAACCACAACCGTAAGGTTCTTCCGCTAGCACTAGTCCGTTACGTTCGGTATGCACTGCTTTAGCGGATCGGCAAAAGCGGAGCGAGTACCTTTTCCGATGGCTGAAGCCGCAGCAGATCCGGAACGGCAACTGGACGAATAGGATCGGAAACCGCCGAAGAACAGAAGCTACGGATCTGTATTCGGATGACCGGTCGGGCCGAAGACCAAGTCAAAGCGGCCGAGCCGGTTACCGGGAAGGATTTTGATGAGAGAATTTCCTAGTCGTCGGCCTACGGAACGGAAGGGCACTTAAGTCGAACGGCTGCGGCATACGACTTGCCGTTGCGAGCTCGCGGAAAAACACATTACGACTCGTCGAGAAACCTGCTGCTGGACATACAGACCCCGTCCCTTTCAACTCAAAGTCGTAAGGCTAAAGCCGTCAAAACTCCCAATCCGATCCTTTGGAGAGAAATCCCTGTCGCTTCAGCTGCCGCAAGGATGACAGCGAGAAGTTTCGATTGGCCGTGGCGGCATACTGTGGCCTCAACGACAGGACGGGTCCGCTTAGGAAGGTGCTCAAGACAAGACGTTCTGGGACGATAACTTGGTGTTCGAGTTGAACTTCGGCGGATTGTCTTGATTTGGCCCCGGCTGGTTCTTTTGCGACACAATGGAGGTCGGCATGATGTTGCACCCCATCTCCAGGTATGGACAATTTCTTGCATACCGGACAGGCCTCCTCAACAAGATAACAGCTATGGTACCAGAACAAGACCTATCACGGTAGCAACCATGCAGTAGTGGAGGAGTACAACTAATAAGTTGTATAACTGGGAAGCAACATGTGGCTATGACGGCTATGAGGTCAAAACAGCACGTTACAATACCTTGATACAGCAGTGTGGCAAAATCACGCAAACATGAGTGTGGAAAGCCACAACGCTGTATTACAAACAAAGCATGATGCTGGGATATGGCCAGAGCATGATGAGATGTTTCTTCAGCATGATATGCTACATTGGTCCTACATGGTGTCAATAATATGACATCATGTTGGCACGGATAACATGCACAAGTCGACACTCCCCTGACGTAAGCATTTCAGCCCCAAGAAACCACAGAGGAAAAAACACATTGAACTCGCACCCCATCGGTATAAGTAGCCCTGATCGTGGACCCCGTGCGCACTGTGAAAGCACATACTCCTGGCCAACCCGTCTAGAACAGTGCGATTGTCTCAAACCCAGCAACCCTCGAAAACATAATGGAAGCAAAGCCAACGATTTTTTGCAAGGAGCAGCTCGCAAAGCTCGGCCACAAAGGTGGCCGCTTCGTCGCCTTGCCAACCCTCCTGCAAGACAGCTACGGAATCGTTAGAGCTCTTGCGTCCAGTGTTCGGGTTCACGCTTGTCCTCAGGCTTACGGCATGCTGGGGTCTTGCAAAGCTGTTATCGATGTTCGCTGTGTTTCGGTGTTCTTGAGACTTGCTTTAGGAATTCCTACAACAAATCTGCTTTTGATGTCGCGACTCCCTGAGCCTTCAACCCTGAAACAAGCGGAAGCCTCCAGTGAAAACTAAATCCTGAATGTTCAAGATGTCAACTCCACTTTGTCCTTGCAGCTTTCATAACAATGCCTCGATCGTGATCTGTTCAACCTTCGACTCTCAACCCGAACCCGTCCAGATTCAAGCTCATCGAGACGATCGCCCCGAAACTACTGCGAGTACTGGTAGCCCTGCGACACCAGGTCCAGGACACTATCTGCAGCTCTTTTTGTCCAAGCTTAGAGAAGCTCTCAGTTTTCGGGGTAAAGGGCCTTTGGCTTCATTTTGGGTTTTAGGTCTTCAGGCTTGAGGATTTAAGGATCAAGGTTGTCCCCTGTTTTCGTAAGACTAACTCCACCCCAAAACGTCCTTTTGCGCCATCGCTCTGCGCCGGAGGAAGCCTAAACCCAGATGCTCCAACCCGAACTCCGAAGCTTGAGCCCCCGACCCGAACCGAATACTGGAAATGAAGGGAAGCAATGGTCACGGCCCACTCACATGACACTTGCACCATCTCCGCTGACAGAGCCAGAGCCTGAATCCTGCAACGTCCCCTTAAAGGTCGACATGCGAGCTCGTCTTGTAGTGGAGGCTCAAGAGGGCCCAAGGCTTCTGGTCTAGGACCCTAGGACTGCACGGCTTCCCAGGCGGTGCTGCTGCAGCTGGGTGATCTGCGCCCGGCTTGGGATGTTGGATTCCATGTTTCTTGCTTCGGGGTTTATGGTTTCCCCCTTGGTGCTAACACACCTCAAATGGCAAGGTTTCCGCTCTGCTATTGCGTCTGGTGCATAACCATATGCTCGGTAACCTTCATGCCGGAAACTACATGATACCTGTCTGATGCTCTGGTGTAGCCAACATCGTGGGGAACTGAAGCTGTGAGATGCTGTTCGAGGTCAGTGCTGGCCGAATCCATGGCACCCCGTCCAAGCTTCGGCATCAGTCTTAATGCGCCCGCTGTCAAGAAACTCGCAAGTAAGGACTTTCGACATTCTATCCTTTTTCCTGCACAAAAACATAATCGGATCTTCAAGGGTGAAACTTGCTGTGCTGCTCAACAGCATCTTTTCAAAGACATGCAGCTGAACCCGAATACTACGAATGGCCCTGCCTGCCAATCGGTATGCTGACGGCCCAGACCTCAAAGGGTTTAAGTCACCAGAAGCCGGAAAACTCAGACTGGACCCTTCGGTTGAGGGTCCCGATCTAGGGATGCTCCTACCTCCCTCAAGAGGCTGTGGCCAAGAGCAGGGACTGACACGCACAGCTGGTCCCCTGAGCCGCAACGAGAATCACGGAGCGGCTTTGGGGCCGCAGCCGCTCTCTTGGCTTGTTTTTCTGGAGCCCTACGCTTGGGGACTTGCGACATGGAATCTTAACGGTCTGCTCAGTTCATTCTTCAAGCACCGGAAATGGCATTTAGTTTAGGTTTTGTCCCGTCTTTGCCAACCAGACTTGTAGCCAAGGGATGCGCCCACATTGCCCTGTCAACTCAACGGCGAAATCCGAAAGCTTTCATCCCCAAAGACTTCGTCCACCAAAACGGTGTCCTAAGCTCACGAATGAAGCTGTTTCCGGCACTGCACTACCTCTCAGAGGTGCTGGGCTTCTGGCTCTGCAGAGTTTACGGCTTGGGACGGGTGGAGCTTGGGCTTTCGGGGTCTTCGGGCTCGGGCTGAGAGGCGAAGAGTCCGAATCAAAACAGGCGCCTTAGCACACAGCCATCGCACGATCCTCCTGTTCCTCCTCCACGATTTCATTCTCGAGCGGCCTGGCCGTGCAAAGGTCGTTGGATTTGGGTGCTGGAGTCTCAGGCCCAAACCCACTTCTAGTGGATTCTCTGATAATGGTGGCACTAGTCTGTACCACCACCAGCCCAGGTCGCTGAGTCTTAGCTCTCCCCAGGCCAGGCCCCGAAATCCAAGAGATGTTGTTCTGTAACAGAAAACTCTCAGACGCGCTAGAGCCGCGCAGCACCGTCTCGACCTGGAAATGTGGGAGCTGAGTCCTTCCTTGCATAGACGATTCCCTTGTCCCACATTGCAGTGCCCGGGCCCGATCTACTGGGAGGAAACGAAGACTAGGCGCCTCTGAAGAAGCCGAAACATGGTCCCCGTCCCTGCTTTTCCTTGTTCTTTGAGGATTCCAGCAAATTTACATCGCGCCTGGATGCCGCAGGCGTTCCCTGGGCTGCAAGCTCTGTCAGATGTCTAAGTCTAGAGCCTCAACAAGTTGCAGGACTCGGGACTTGCCCTTGGCTTGGGATACCGTCCTTCGCGTTGGAGAGATCGTTGCTTCGGGTTTGAAGAAGGGCGATGCAGGGTCTTGCGGGTGCTGTCTTTTGGGCTTTGGGTTTGGGCATTTCACGGGACTCGGCTCACTTCTACCCGGAGCGAAACGCTGCCTGAACACTACACCCCTGAAGCCCTTTTGCGCAGCAGTCCCCATGACGTCCATGCTCTTCCAGTGATGGAAATAACTACTATCTGTGCCATGGTGACAGTGGTGGAACACCAACTATCCGAAATCCGAAGCCTCAAGCGCAACTTCACATAACTTCGAGCGAACCGGGCGGCTGATGCATTGCAGACGTGGGCCCTGTACTGATCAAACTCCTCGACAGCGTAAGGTTCGGTCAATGTAAGCAAGGGCGTTTGTCCGTGACAAATCGAAGAGATCTTACTACCAAACTGTTGGAGTCAGATCCCGGCAGCACCTTTTCCCTTGGTCATAATGTATCCGGGCGAGATGCTCCAGCATGAGGAGCTTGGAAAATCGTTGTTTGCACACTGGTGTTCAAATCAGGGCTTTGGCCTCGTCAACTGGCTGGCTCACGTGATTGACAATTCTTCACGTTGATCGTGACTACATCCATTACAGTGTAATTCATAGCTAGCAACTCGCAACGGTAGGTACCGACTTTTGCCATTGTGACTACGGTGGTTACAAGCATTGCTGCTACCCATCTTGCTGCCGTTAACACCATTTTGTGCTGTTCTCTCGGTAAGCCTCCGACAAGCCCTTGAGGCTCTGTTGTCGCGGGGAGCCTTTTCCGTTAAGGTTCGGTGTACATACCGGTAGGCTTCACTTCCCCCACCCCTCACCACTCACCTGAAAACTACCGAGCTACGTATGGCACTGCAACCGAATATACCTCTGCATACCAACCTTCCGAAACTTTTGTCACGGAATGACGCTGCTAAGTAAATCATCGGGCAACTTCAATTGTTCACACTACGAAGCAAAGTTTCAGACCGAATGCTTCAGATCGCAGGGGTGAAGTGTATCTCCTACAACCACAATTCGCGAGTTGAAACAGCATACACATGAATCTGTCACAACTTTGGTCATACCCACCAGAAGAAAAGCAGAAGAACTGAAATATTATTAGCGAGAGAACATACTAGAGAAGACCACACTTGATGCGGCTTGATAATGCAATTCATTGGACCCAATCCTGAACCCCCCACTGACTCCCCAACCCAGCAAAACAAGCACAGCACAAGCTAGAGCCACAAAGTCTGCCCGCCGAGCCCTCCCAGAGACCCTGCCAGTCCTCGGGAGTCACATGAAGCCTCCACTCGATAAGCTGGAGAAACTGCCCTTCCAAGATGTTCACTTCTCGGGTCTTCACGCCTCCGACCTGGCTCCAAGCGTGCTTAGCTGCTTTGCATCGCAGCATGCGGAGGTCAGATGAAAGCCCGGAACTACAGAACATCCACACCCTAGACAAAGCCACGGATGGCAAAGCTGCAGGCAATTGCCTGAATTCTCGAGAAGCCTTTCGTCCTCGAATAAAACATTGGATCCTGAACCTCCTAGCCCGAAACTCAAGCCTTTCCTAAGGCTCAGGCGGCAGAAGGCAGCTCTCCAGTGACTGATCGTGATAAACATGATAGTCAGAAATGTGGAGAAACAACTTTTGTTGCGAGTATTTCTTCTTGTGACCATAACGGCAACTATCTCTCTCTCTCTCTCTCTCTCTCTCTCCCGAGATGCTGATCCGCATGTTTGTGTGCGTCATGGCTACTGCTACTGTTGCTACTCAGCCCCTGCAATACTCCGTACTTCTTATCTTCTGCTCGGAAGCACGATGCTAATCCCCGGCTCCCCCGGCCTTGGCATAGTAGGCATTGCCTTGGCGAGTCGAGGGTTGCAGATCTCGGGGCAAGGTGTCGGTTCGCTGCGCTGCGCGAAGTTGACGCAGGGGGAGGGCGCAGGCTCTGAGTCTGAATTATATACGAGCTTGTGGAGTTTAAAATACATGAGTGGGGAGTCAGGCACACAAAAATCCAGAAGTGGTGCACCCCGCAGTGTATTCTTGAAAGATCATAACCCTGGGTCATGAAACCCCATGTCTATTCCGAGCGTAATGGCTAAAGGTAGAGGGCTTAGGGGTCGTGGCTCCAGGGGCTCACGTTGAAGGCCCAGCTGCTGTAATAAACGTCGTCGAAGAATTTCACTGCCAGCATCACGCTGGTCACTAGCAACCTGCAGTAGCGTAGTCGATTCTCAAAGCATCTGGAGTCGTGGTGCACATGGTGTTGCGATGCACGTGCAACGTTGGAATCCTTCCAAGTGCAAGGTCCAGAGCACACAAATGCGTTCAGTTCGCTTCGATCTGCCGACCGATCTATCTGCGTTGCTACATGTACCTTTCTGCACGTATGCTTGTGTATGAGAAGGGCCTAACAGTAACATATTACGTGTACATTATACATATATATATATACATATATATATATATATGTACACACATATGGCTGCGCCCCAGCGCCAAGCAAGATCCACTGTATGGGTGGTTCAGGGGGGTGGGGGGTGGCGGTGATGCACGAAACACTACAATGCTCAAAACTCAAAAAATTCCAACCCTGGGACTCACGACACTGCAATGCCCAACAACTCCAACAAAACTCCCAAACTCCCCAAATTCTTACATCTATGGCTGGGCGGCGGGCGAAAATCTGCAACACTTGGAACTGTTGACTTTTTTGCGCATTACAAGGCTTCGTGAGTTTGATGATGGAAAACGAAAAAATTTTGCTGAGCATTACGATTTTTAGTGAAGCTCGGCACACGAAACACTGTGATGCTCAAAAAATCCCCCAAATTCCCTGAAACTCACGAACAAGTGTAATGCTAAATATTCCAAGGACCCCCAAAATCTGGCATCAGCCGCCATGTATCTCTCATGCAATCCGCATAAGTCTTCATCCTTACTCACCACTCTTCGAACAACCTTTCCAAAATTTCAAGTATAATTAATACGCCTGTCCTCTCAGAGATAGCTGTCTGTTCCTACCGACTGAGTCTCTGATGAAGAACCTTGCCAAACAAAACTAGCTCATCAGCATGTCGTACAATTTCTTACCTGCACGACTTCCTCGCAGCTTGCACGATCACCTTTGTTGCTGATATGAACAACAGTATACAAACACCGCATTGCACACATCAACCTTACCACGATCCTCCATGCCCTCATGGAGCCCAGATACAATCATATCTATTCATTTGCTTATTTCGACACGGACCTTGCAAGTCGGACCGTCTTCAGTACTCCGATGCGGGCATAGATATTCAGCGTAGCGCAGGCGTCTTCGAGTGAGAGCACACCAACGACAGAACTGCCTTTGGAACCAGTCGGCACTAGAGTCGGGCCATTGCAGTATGCACCTTACAAGCCAAACACAAAACGCTATCCCGTCAGTGGTATTTATCCTGAGCTCCTGTAAGTCATTGTCTCCTTCTGCGACCGGCATTGTGTTTGTAGACATCACCCCCACTACCATGTTGCTTGTGTGTCCCAGTCGTGCTAGGTGAGCAACACGCTACCCACATGCACAAATTTGAGGATAAGGTGTCTGATGACAACATGCGCGAGACCAAAATAAAACGTGAAAACACTGGGTTGGTGTATTACCACAGAAACAAGTTTGCAAACCTTCCACAATGTTTAAGTTTTCCAACAACGACAACTATTGTTCACGTGGGGCCGAAATTCGGCCCCAGGTTGACACTCGCGAAACACGAGACATACAGCAGCTCGATTGGTATGCTCATGAAGGGATTGAATCGGTAGCTACTTTGCTTTTGGCATAGCTGAACCGTTTACAGTGAGCAACCTGTAAAGTCGTCTGGGACGGGTTACGGGCGGATCTCGGAGCGGATGTATGCATCTATGTATGTGCACCTTCACATGTACAAACGCACAGAACATAACTGCATTGATGCAGACACAAATCACCTGCATAGACACACCTGCGATCTACGCATGCAGGTACATGAATACTTAGACATAAAAATACATATTCGGCTACATGATGTTTGACACACCATCCACACGCACGTCTATACATACATACATATGTATACATACATACATGCCTCGATACATGTACGCATGAACACAAACTGAAAAAGGACATGTCTACAAATATGTGCGTACATACGCAGCTCTTGAAAGAACAAAGTTGAGGCTCCGATACGACCCAGAATGTGCTGTCGACGATTTGCACGTCGTGGAGGTGGGTTCGCCATGAGCGCTTCTTACAACCAGATAACTCCCGAATTCCAGACAAACAGCACTCCCAAGCTCCAAGACTCCAGAGTTTTTGGGAACCCAGCTGTTAACTTTCGCATTAAGAAACCTTGGAGTTCTTTGATATCCACGAATGTGGATTGGGAATTACTGCTACAACCTGAACGGATGAAGCGATTCTGCAGGTTTTGGGCGGGGTCGCCTATGCTTATGTGTTGGGACACATGTGCGCAACCGACAGGAAGATTAGAAAGACAGATGCGTAGATGAACGTCTGCGGATGCAGACTGTATGCAAATTAAACATGTGCAGGCAAGTAGACAAGTAGATCGTATGCCTGTGTGCTTATCCACATGTTCACATACATGCTGTAGGTGAGTTAATCTTTCTGCTTCCATTGGTCAAAGCATTTGATGCTTAACTTCACCATCAGTATCTAGTCGTCCCAATTGGCTACCTTCTTGATTTTCGACTCAGCGATGATTGTTTCGACCTTGCACAAGAAGTAAATAATGTGTTAAATAAAGGGATAACAAATGTTAACATATGTGTATACATATATTACACATATAATATAATATAATATAATATCATATCATATAATATAATATAACACAATATAATATTATATAATATAATATAATATAATATAATATAATATAATATAATATAATATAATATAATATAGTAGAATATAATATAGTATAATATAATATAATAAAATATAATATAATATAGTAGAATATAATATAGTATAATATAATATAATATAATGGAATATAACATAATATAACATAATATAACATAATATAATACAATATAATATAATATGATATGATATGATATAAGATAATATGATATAATAGAATAGAATATAATATAATATAATATACATACGTGTGTGTGGGTGTGTTGTGTGTGTGTGTTGCGTGTGTGTGTGTTGTGTGTGTGTGAGTTGTGTGTGTGTGTGTTGTGTGTGTGTGTTGTGTGTGAGTGTGTGTTTTGTGTGTGTGTTGTGTGTGTGTGTGTTGTGTGTGTGTGTTGTGTTTGTTGTGTGTGTGTGTGTGTGTTGTGTGTGTTGTCTGTGTGTGTTGTGTGTGTTGTCTGTGTGTGTTGTGTGTTGTGTGTGTTGTGTGTGTGTTGTGTGTGTTGTGTGTGTTGTGTGTGCTGTGTGTGTGTTGTGTGTGTTGTGTGTGTTGTGTGTGTTGTGTGTGTTGTGTGTGTTGTGTGTGTTGTGTGTGTGTTGTGTGTGTTGTGTGTGTTGTGTGTGTTGTGTGTGTTGTGTGTGTGCGTGTGCGTGTGCGTGTGCGTGTGCGTGTGCGTGTGCGTGCTTGCATGTACAACTTGATTGGTTTAAACCCATGGCCTAAACCACTGCAAGTTGTTGGAGACCCTGCAATGCAGGAGACGTTATCGATGAGTATCCCCTCCCTCGCCCTGCCTGTGTATGTTCAGGCTGCATATCGTGAAGTCTGGGTGCAACTTCACAATTCTGTCAATGTACACCAAGCACAGCCTTGGCAGCGGCCACTGCTTAGAGCTTAGGGTCGTGGCTTTTTGGCTGTTAGGTATGTCAAAGAACGCAGCAGTCCAGCTCTAAGTACCACACTCAAACACATTCGTTTGGCTGAACCAAGCTGTGATTCAACGACTGCCTTATGCTGACATCCGTAGCGATAGAGACTTTTATACTCGTGAGTACTACCGCAATTACCAGCTGCTTGCCATAACCGTCGTAATGCTTACATCACTACTGTTCACGTTGCAAGCACTACCGCTACCAATTCAAATCATGCGGGTTGTGACCAGGATGGCTCCGACCCTGAAAAATACGATCATTTCAGTAACAATACAGTACAACCGTACAGTATGCCTTTTGCAACCGTAGCACCATCCATGTAACCTATTGTCCACGTTATCTGCTCTGCCATTCCTACCACGATTGTCAACCCTGTGCCTCTCGTCGTTAGCAACACTGTGATGATTTGCTAGTTTGGCCATTGCTGCACTTTCTGCACACAAACATCACCACCAGCAGTATCACCAATATCATCAGCATCAGCAGGGCTGTTGTTGCTATCCGCACGAGTAGCCTGCTATGACAACCATCAATGTCACCATCGTCATGACAAACTCATATCATCCTTGCGCTCGCCATCGTTTTGCTGCTGTAAGTATCACCACTACAAGTACTTGCAACTACAATGCACATCAAAGATCTTCAGTATTGCTAGCTGTTGCCGCTGTGACGGCTGTTGTCCTCATGGCTAGAACTATCATGCATGGTATTGCTGGCAATGCTTCACTCGTGCTACAGCTCACAAGCTGGAAACGCAAAGGCAATGCTGGCAGAATTTTCAGAGTGCTCCGTTGCTCCATTCATCCTATTAGCCTTTTCCTCTCGTCTTCTGGAAATACGACGGTCGCAAATAGCCCAGGGGGCTGGTTACTGCCTCGTGTCTCCATTCTGCCAAGTATAACCACTTCCCGGCACCTTTAATACCAAGTTCAACGACATGCAATGTCAGCCACTTCCGGGAGCCTCCCTTTCATCGCACATCAAAGGGAAGGTTGCGGAGCCAAGCCACACAAAGCATTCGCGGCTGCACTGGAAGTACTTTGCAATCCTCCGAGACCACCACACTTTCAAGCGAATGTTAGACACTAAAGCGGAACCAAACGTTTGTGAGAGACGGGCAATGCCACATCACCCTAAAAAGCGCTGCTGGAAGCCACTACAAACCTGCTCCGCCAAAGTGGTTTAGTTCAGCTCAGGTAGGATCACAGAATGCGCGCAAACACAAAGGTCACAGGTCTTCAAGCGCGAAAAGCAAAGCAGATGGATTCCGGTCTTAAAAGCTTTGAAGCGGCACTCTCGACCCAGAAGCCCAGAAACCCCAAACAGTGCATGTTGGACTTTGACTCTAGAGCTAAAGCCCGCGAGAATCCTTACATCACCCGAAAACACACATAAATTCAAGATACAACAGACTCTATCCTCGGAGCCCCGAACCGAGCAACCCAGGATTCTTGAAGCCCAGAAGTCCCACATCGCACCCCTGGACCGCAATGCTCCTGAAGAGGTAGTCACGGATTGGCAACTGTGGTGGCCGGACTGAGTGGAACTTCGTGACCTCGAGTTTTGGGTCCGCAACTCGCACATCCGAACTTCATTGGTTGCTGCAAATCTCAAGGGGTTTTGCCGAGTTTAACCAGCAGTCACCTGGCGCTTCCCGGGCTCGTACTCCACAAGCTCTGGAGCATACCATACAGGGCTCAGAGATGTAGTCTCCAAGGGTTGCGGGTAAAGTAAGGTGCTGCAGGTCTCAGTGCCGAGACATGTTTAGGCTTCGGTCCTTCGTTTCGAGAAGCTGGATGGTGCGGGTCCAGACTTTGGATCCATGTACCATCGGACATCTTCTGGTGATCCTCTTGCTAGTTTCGTTCCACAAGGAACTCCCCAAACTTCGACCAGCAAAGCTTTTGCAGTGCTTTTGGGCCTGAGCTTCAGTTTTCTGGCTGAGCTTTTGGACTCAGGACTTGAACAATGAAGCACTGAAAGGTGCCCCAGAATCGGAGGTTCGGAGGTTGTGGCTTCTCCGGCAATCATCAATAAAGTCCATTGTTGAGGCAGATGGTTGGGGAGGGCAGCTACAGTACGTGGCAAGGCTGAACCCGTGTTCAGTCCAAGCCTTTTAGAGCCTTTAAACGCTTCAAAAGCCAAAGGTTTCAGCAGCAAAGGATCTGATCTTTTTTCGGCGTGGGGCGGCGGCGCTTCTTTGGCCCAGCCTTCTGAGCTTCCCCGAGGCTCTCCCATGCAGGCACAAAAACCCTAATCCTCCTAATCCTAATCGACTCTTTAAGATGAGATCCTTGAAGACCTTATCTAGTCACCTATAGTCGCTCTGTCCTGCATGGGAATAGGCACATGAAGCTACGAAACCTCAGGAACCGCGCTTCCTCTTCGCCGGAAGGGCCTTCTCCACCGCTTTCTCCTTCTCCTGATACTGTTCGATGCAAAGCTGCAGGGCGGTGCATTTTAAATAGCGATCATCGACATCATGATGCTGATCATCCGCGACCGTCGCGATCATCACTTGCACCATCAGCAGCACAACCAACAGCCACCGCCCCTACCACCACTGCTGCCCCAATCATATACAAAAAAAACTTGCGAAGAGTCGTTAGAAAGAAACGTCATGGAAGCGCGTCTGTCAGACTGTAGCCAGTTATGCACGGTGCCCTACGGTGCCCTACAGTGCCTTGTAGTCCTTGTGGCTCTCTTTCTCCGACCTCTCTGGCTTCTCCGACTTCTCCTTGGGCTCTTCCTGCCATAATGAGAAGATAACGTCCTGGTCCTTTCTCTCTCATTACTGTGCACTTTCTTTTTTAAAACTCCTAAACCGCCACCAAAAAAAGACAGTGTTTGCGTGAACACACTGGAACCATTGTGCCGACCTTCTCGAGCTTCTCCGCCTTCTCAAGCTTCCCGGCCAAGATCTCCTTCTCCAAATTGTGGCCTCGAAACGCCTCGAAGGCTGGTTGGGCAGTGCGCTCGTCCAGGCAAGCCAGCGAAGCGCTGATTTTCAGCACAATCTCAGGCCACTCCTCTCAGACTGAGCTTGCAGCTGAACTGGACATGTTTGTTGAATGTTCCCTGGCTTGCTTATTGCACAAGTCACAATCACTTGGACGCCTCCCTTTCACCGCCAACTGAAGACCGCGAGCTTCCCAACCCTCTGCAGTCCTTACACCCCCGGCCGTAGTCGGGCGTTGCGACAACCTCCGAAAAAAAAACATGTGCAGCTTCCTTCGTTACGGACGGCCGGCTTGACTTTGGCTCGTCTCCGGCCTGAGGCAGGTTGTCCTTGATGAAGTTGAGGCAAGCTTTCTCGAGCTGCTTCGCCTCGTAGAGATGTGCCTTGCCGGCTCGGAGAATCTCAAGGTCTGGGGCCGAAGTTATAGGCGAACTCGCGAGAATCTTGACCCCCACCATACACCTAACATCTTCCAATTGATGCGCTTGAGCTACTTTCTTGTCAGATCAAACTCAAAACCTGTCAATCCCAGTAAAGAACCACCCCGCATGCTGTTTTTGGGCCCGCTCACATCCGCTGACCAGACATTGAGGGGACAAATACCAACCAACCACCCGAGACTGAAGAAAGTCAAAGAAGAGTTCAACCCCGACACCTACATCAGGAGCCTGACAGAGAATGGAGAAGACCTCGTTGGAAGAGATGTTGTCACACCTGGCACCACGAAGGCGTTTTGGATCTACAGCGATCCAGCCTCGTTGAGGGAGTGTTTGAGAGATTCCGGGACCCCCCACGGCGGCCCTCGGCCCAAAACCGGAAACCCGAAATCAGAAATCAGCCCCACGTAGGTAAGCTAGTCTCGCCCATGAAAATCTGGTGGTTCTGGAGGTGCAGGTCGTCAAGCTTTGGACCCTTTCAACTTATAACTACTTATAACCCTAAACTTCTGAGCCCAACATGAGAGTTTCTGTCTGACATTACATGACTGGAAACAGGGATTGTTGCTGCCGACGAGGTGCAGCTTCTGCTCACACCAAACCCGCAGCCGGTTAATCTGGTAGAGGTGGCTAAGGCTCCTGGGCTTGGCGCACAGCGGCATAGCGCTTTGTGTAAGGAGCTCCGGGGCAAGTGCGGCCGCCGTGCGACCCAGGTTCAACAGGTTTTGGAGGAAAGGCGTCGCCATCTTCCACTTCAGACAGGACGATCCAGAGCTGTCGTGCGCATGCTTCGCCAGGTCCTGGCGGGTCAGGCAAAGCTGTCGTCTGTCGCGGAGTTCGAAGCCGTGGGTTGCAAGGACACGAAACCAGAATGCGAGTGACAAGATAAACTGCTGACAGTGTGAAGGATTGGAACATCCAGGTAGCACGACATTGCAGACTTTGCATTCCAAACACTTTACACGCATGAAAGCCCCCTACCAAAGCTGGCGTTATGCTCCGATCCTCAGGTCCGACGTGGAGCCGCAGACCCCGCAGCCAGAACTGTCTTGTACTGCCCAAATCTCTTCAATCTAATGCAAAAGACTTCATGCTTCTTCGAGCTTCGGTCCTCGCAGTTTCGGGTGGGCTGTGGCGAAAACCCCATTCCTTACTAGTGACGTGCTAATGTCCTCGATGATGGCCAGGTCGTCTGTGTACAGGAACCTTACGGTTTATTGGACACAGCGTCTGGGGCTTATTCTGCTGTTGCGGTATTCCGACTTCAAGGAATAGATGCTCATGGTATAAGATTGAAGTTGAAGACTATTTGGATCTATTTGGAGCTTCACAATCAAGTTCAATCAGGCCAGTGCACCTGCAAGGGATGAGGGCTGAGGTGCTAGAAACGTATGTTTGTACTTGCGCCACCAACCTGAGTGAACAGCATCTACTATCCTGAAGCACTCCGTCCAAAGAGTGCAGAAACGTGTGGCTGCAACAGGTTGCAACCGTGTAGCTTGAGCATTGCTCTGAACGTAGCCGACTGCGTCTCTTCTACAAGAATTTCTTTGGAGATGGACTCCTGGACCATGGGTATGCTGGGCCGGCAACAGGCTCGTGGAGTCAATCGATATTCTGGGCGCCGACAGCTCAAGACATGTCGCTTTGGATGGCTACGCCCACTCTCAAGACCCTTTAAAGAAGCGCACCCGGCCATTTTCAGACAATTTGCACACCAATGCAACCTGCAGCCTAGGAAGTCTTTAGTTCGTAGTTAAACAAACCTATCAACTCCACGGGCCGACATAAAGCTGGCCCTATACCTGTCAGAATCTACACCCGGCCCATTTCGGGATGAAAATATGATTTGCCACGTCCTTCATTCCACTGTACAACTGCCGCTCGAGGACTTGAGATCTGGCGCAAAGAATCTGAGAATGAGCCGGAATCCGCTCTCCTGGGCAACGGGCTGATTCAGATGTTTATTTACAGCAAGGCCGAAACGTCTTACAACGTGTGAGGTATGTACCCTGCAGTACTGCTGCGGGTTGAAATTCGCTCAGAGCATGTCTCCACGAGCACGACAACTGCAATCTCAAAGACGACGACTCTGACGACGAGCCCCTTCTTCTGTTGAAACTTGGTGCCAAAAGGACCTAAGCACATTAAAACAACCCACTGAAGCCTCACGCAACACCCAGCCTCCCTTGTTGCGGGATTCGAATCGTCTGAAGGAATCCTAACCCTGATTCACTGCGCGTCCAGTCTCCCTGCACCAGGAAGGTGACGTCGGTCCCTCGACCCTCCTTGCAGACTGTCGTCTAGCACTATACGGGGTCATGCTTTGGAATCAAAGGTCCGCGTGTGAGCCTTAAGAGCTGAATCGCTTGGAGGACATTGCCCAGGCATCAGCCCTTGTAGGAAATCTTGCAGGCTTTGCAGAATAGCCAGTTGGGGTCAGGGATTCTGCCAATTGCGGCTGCAATTGCTGGGTCGAATAAAAACAACATATCTGCAGCTTCATTTGGCACCACTCGAGTTGAAGGCGGGCAGTGCAGAAAGTGTGAAGATACAGCAGTAACACGACATGCAGCTTTAGCATTGTATTCTCGATCGTGTCTAGCGACCTTCCAGCACGAAAGACCCCACTGATAGGGAAACGAGCACTCGTGTCTAGCTTGTGCCAAGATGTATGGCTCTGGAGGACTATACGTGCAAATGGTTGCAGCACTCAACAGAGTCTGGGAGCGAAGGCCCCAATGTCACACTTTCTTTACAAGGCTACTTTGCGCTTGGTAATGGAATAATCCGGATGGCCGCACCATGCAAGTAGTCCTCAAACATGGTCAGCAGGTCGTTGGACAGCGACTGGGCCGGCACTTCGATAGCCGGCTTCCGCAGCGGCATGGGATCCAGCTCCTTTGAGGTTTTCAGGGCAGAGACCGTGGGGTTTTTGGCTTTTGGAACCTGCTTTTGCCGAGCCTGTTCCGTCTTTCTGCGATGTGGTGATGGTGACTTGCAGGATCACTGCAGCTAGTAGACGGCTAGATGGTACTGGACTTCTGCAGTGCAAGCGCTGCATCGATTGCACACTTGCAACCGACACGTCACGATGCTGTTTAGTATGTCGAGGATTGTTCCAATCATAACTCGCGAAGTGCCAGGATGATCTCCATCTCCCAACATGCGCAGACACAGAGTTGCATGTCTAGCCTCTCAGACACGATCGTGGCCAGAATGGCGAGTAGCTCTGCACACGACCTCCCATCTGCCTTCGTCAACCCCGAAGCCCTCACCAGCGATTCTGGTCGGAAACCATCAGAAACAGCTCTGAAAAGACCGAGGCTCCACGTTGGGACGCACTTCGAGCTCAAACTTCACTGTCAGGGAGCCATCCACGATCCATGGAGACTTCAGGAGTTCCTGCAACTGCTCCACATGGTGACGAGGACGGTTGTGGCGATGGTGATGATCGGAATCAACAGCAATCATCATCAGTACCCCAAAGCTCGAGATACATGCCACAACCCAAGTCTGCAAGCCGGATACAAACCTATCGAAGCTGCCTTCAATCAGAGCAGCTGCGAAAAGTTGCCTTCTGAACTTCTGAAAGACTGCAGCCACTGCTCCGAAGAAGGAAAGAATCGACTATCTGCACTGTTGTTCCTCGCGAGAGAGAGAGAGAGAGAGAGAGAGAGAGAGAGAGAGCGAGAGAGAGAGAGAGAGAGAGAGATGGAGAGAAGAGAGAAGAGAGAGAGAGAGAGGAGAGAGGAGAGAGAGAGAGAGAGAGAGAGAGAGAGAGAGAGAGAGAGGGAGGGAGGGGAGAGCCGTGCTCTCGTTCTTGAATCGGCCCGAGACTTCGGGCAGCAGAAAACGTTGAAGCAATACAGAGAGAAACCACAAGACCCTGTAAAAACCCGAACAGATGTCAAACACCCAGACTCAGAACCTGCAGCAAGGAGACTGTCAATCTAGTTTTAGCAACAACTCAACATTAAGGCTGCTCATGCAAGACATTGTTGGTAAATACAGCAGACAGTGAGGGACAAAGTCGGAAGACTGGGATCCTCGTGGCTCATGCCGAAGATGCCCATAGAATGCGGAGGGCTTTCTGCCGAATCCGCAAAATAAACATCCGGGCCGAAGGCTCGTCCAGAGGTGTCCGCTCCTGAAACTCAGGGCAAAGCTCGCAGAGCCGCAGAGCTCAAGCAGAGCAAGGCCGGAGAGGAAAAAGGCTCCGGATAAATTTCGGGACGTAACGTCGACTCTCTGCCGGCCCGAGCATCCGGTGTGGCACTCGTTTCCCTCTTGGCCCCACTGGACCCATTGGCCCTCCGCGTTCTTGACGAGCGCCTGGAGCAAAGGCGCTTGTGGGTTTGAGTGTCCATTGTCCGCCAAGCCCAGCATGTGTGGTGTAACAACGTCTGAGGTGCCAGCTGCCAGGCTTTGGAAGGCTGCTACAGATCGACTTGCATCAAAGCGTCTGGCTGATAGGTTGCAGAGATGTGAAGTTTGCAGTATGATCGGAAACCAACTTCTTCGATGCCCCAGCTCTACACGACTGTGACACTTCCATCCTGGCGCCTAGACTTGAATGTCTGCACCCTTGCCCATGAAGCCCCCGCCTTGTAACGGAAGGTGATGCCGTCTCCATTGTGGTGCACGATGCAGAGGGATCCTCTTTGGGACTGGCCCAAATAGCCCACCTCAGGAAGTCTTCAGCCTAGTACTTAGGCTTTGATGCTGTGCAAGGGTCTTGGGCATCAAGTCCGGCTTGAGTGCTTTGTGCACTTTTGGCTCTCAGGGCTCCGGGGCTCAGAATGCATGAGCTAGCCCAAATCCCGAGCCTCCCCCGCTTCCGGGTGGTAGACCAAGGAGAAATCCTCGAATTAAAAAGGCTTGGGCGGGTTTTGGCGTTGGATTCAGAGGCTTTTGGGCTGATGGCTGAGTCCTCCCCGGCCACGATGAAGGTGCAACTCTCGGCAAAGTTGGCCTCATTCTGCTCCAGGGCGTTGATAAGCCAGGAGATGCCTGCTTCGGGTTGAACGGGCTGGGCACTAGTGTGGAATCAACGAGATTGTTGAGTTCATACTGCGCCGCCGTACCCCTGAAAAAGACCCCGATGATTGCTGACAACAGGTTAGCCGTGGAACAAAAATCGTGAGTTGAGCTGCCAACCTGAAGTCACTCGGAGCCCTGCATGGAGACTCGGTGCCTTCAATCCGCCACTCGTAGTCACCCTTGACCACGACCTCACTTCACACCGAAGTAGTGGCAGCAGTAGTGGTAGCAGTAGCAGCAACAGTAGCCGTAGCGGTTGCGGGAGCAGTCGCAGTCGCAGTAGCAATAGCAGTAGTAATAGTAGTAGTAGTAGTAGTAGTAGTAGTAGTAGTAGTAGTAGCAGCAGTAGTAGTAGTAGTAATACTAGTACTAGTAGTAGTAGTAGTAGTAGTAGTAGTAGCAGTAGTAGCAGCACTACTGGTAGTAGTACTAGTAGTAGTAATAGGAATAGCCACAGTAACAGTAACAGTTGTAGTGATAGTAATAGTAATAGTAATAGTAATAGTAATAGTAGTAGTAGTAGTAGTAGTAGTAGTAGTAGTAGTAGTAGTAGTAGTAGTAGTAGTAGTAGTAGTAACAGTAATAGTAATAGTAATAGTAATAGTAATAGTAATAGTGACAGTAATAGTAATAGTAATAGTAATAGTAATAGTAATAGTAATAGTAATAGTAATAGTAATAGTAATAGTAATAGCAATAGCAATAGCAATAGCAATAGCAATAGCAATAGCAATAGCAATAGCAATAGGAATAGTAATAGTAATAGTAATAGTAATAGTCATAGTCATAGTCATAGTCATAGTCATAGTAATAGTAGTAGTAGTAGTAGTAGTAGTAGTAGTAGTAGTAGTAGTAGTAGTAGTAGTAGCCAGGCGCCTGGTGTTTTCCTCTGTTTTCAAGCGTTTCGGTGAGGTTTTGGGTGGGTCGGTTGGGGTCAACAACGACATGGTCGACCGCAATGGTCGAGTCTTCTTGTTGCCAAAACCACTGGCAGTGCCGGTACTTTGGAGCGTTTTACGGGGGCTTTTGTTCGACTGGGAGGGGAGGGCATGGTGGGGGTGTCAATCACGACATGCTTCCCCGCAATTTTTGCTGGTTTCGCAATCCCCACGGTGTGGCTTCGTGTGTTTTCGAAGGATTTTCTTCCACTGGTGCGGGGGTGTCGTGAGGGGGGGGCGCCGCACAGTGGCTCGATTTTCGTTGTTGGCAGTAGCAGTAGCAGTGGCAGTGGCAGTAGCACTAGCAGTACCAGCACCAGTGGCACTAATAGTGCAGCAGCGGCAGTAGCAGTCGCACTAGCACTGGCAGTAGCAGTACCAGTACCAGTGGCACTAATAGTAGCACTACTACAGTACTACTGGTACCAGTACCAGTCCTACTAGGAGTCCTACTAGCAGTACCACTACCAGAAGCCGTAGCACTAGCACTAGCACAAGCGGCTTGAGGCCCTCCAATCGCCGAGACCTGATGCCAACCAAGCTTTTTGGCCCCACAGTGGCTCTACGGTTGCAGCGCCTGCAACACTCCCTTCATCATCATCATCAGTAGCATCACTAGCATCATCATCGTCATCCAAAAGTGTAATTATTAGTAAATCAAAGTAGTTTTTGAAAACGTAACTGAACTGCAATTTTCACAAAACCCTGTAAAAACCGTAACTTTTGACCCTCTGACACCTGCAAACTACCAGGCGCCAGGAGGCGCGCAAGCCTAGTAGTAGTAATAGTAATAGTAGTAGCAGTCGCAGTCGCAGTCGCAGTCGCAGTCGCAGTCGCAGTGGCAGCAGCAGTAGCGGTAGCGGTAGCAGTGGCGGTAGCGGTAGCGGTGGCGGTAGCGGTAGTGGTGGCGGTAGCGGTAGCGGTAGCGGTAGGAGAAGCAGTAGCAATAGCAGTAGGAGTAGTAGTAGTAGTAGTAGCAGTACTGCTACTACTACTACTACTACTACTACTACTACTACTACCAGTACCAGTACTCGTAGTAGCTGTTGTAGTCGCAGAGGTAGCTGTATTTGTCGTGGTGGTGGTAGTGGTGGCAGCAGTAGCATTACTATTTGTAGTAGTCAGCAGTAGTAGTAGTAGTAGTAGTAGTAGTAGTAGTAGTAGTAGTAGTAGTAGTAGTAGCGTCGTAGTAGTAGTGGTAGTGGTCGTCACTCGTCGTCGTCGTCGTAGTAGTAGTAGTAGTAGCAGTAGTTGTTGTTGTCGCAGTGGTAGTAGTAGTCTACTTATGGAACTAGCAGCATCAAAAGCAGTAGCGGTAGGACTAGCAGGAGCAGTGCTAGTAGTAGTAGTCGTCGTCGTACTAAGCAGTAGTCGTTGTGATCGTCGTGGTAGTAGCAGCAGAAGTAGGAGCAGCAGCAGTAGTCAGGTCACCCTTGTGGTCGTAGTCGGAGTCGCGTCGTAGTCGTTGCCGCAGTCGTTGTCGTAGCCGCAGCAATAGCGACAGTAGTAGTCGAAGTAGTATTGTAGTAGTAGCAGCAGTGCCAGCCAGTGCAGAGTCGTATAGTAGACACCTGTAGTTCAGGAAGCCTGCTGCATTCGAAAGGCTTCGAGTCCCAGTGGAATCCCGACAAACCCGAAGGCATTGATATTGCCGTTTATCCCGACACTTTAAAGCTGAAGGCTCCAGCCACCCAGCCCTTCCCCTCTACTGCTTCGGACCTCGCTACAGTGGACCAGCTCCCCATTGCTCCCAGGGTTGAAGCGCGGTGGGGGGACCTGCGCCGACGCTGAAATGTTTCATTAAAAAGTCTTACATGTGTCTGCTGATCTCTGGCTTCTTGCGGTAGCGTTAGCAGTACTTGCATAATGCCACGGCCAATGCCGAAGCGCCACAGGCTCTGACAGATCTAGTCGTTGCCTTGACGCCTCATACTGTAACTCGCGTCTCTTGTCCAACTGATGTATGCACCTGATACGGTGTGTCGCATGCTCATGGATGTACAGTACAACACACCCTCTATGACTCTATAATCCGTATAGGTACAGGCATCAAGAACACACAATTTCTCGCTACGGACCCTGTCGTTGTACGGGTTCCGGGTTTCACTCATGCTGAAATGACCTTTTCGACACTTGCGCGACGAGCGCCCAGACATAGCAGCATAGTAGTCAGTTGGTAGCGAAGCATGCAGAACTGTTCGGCACACGCAGCATCCTGTGGCCTACTTCTTTCCTTCAATGGTGCTGGCAGTAAAGCTCACCGAGATAAGTGGCTAGGACGAAGCGGCTGATTGAAATCCCCGCCAGTCCAAGTCCAGGGAAGTTTGGTGACGGACACGAAATTGTGCGAAAGCGTCTTGCTGGCTCTGGTCGACATCTTGAAAGCCGAATGAGAGAGAGTGCTGGGGGCACGCCGCATACATGAGCTTTTCTGGGCAGTCTTTCCGAATGGAGTTGGATGTGCGGACATGTACGACGAAGATGCCTTGCATGCTCCTTGACATGCCTTTGCCTTCGATCCGCAAACGAACTCTGAGCAACAAGCGCTGTTACACGGGATGCCTGCTATGTGTGTCATGTATTGATTCTGGCCGTGTGCTGAATAACACTTGTGCTTGAAGACTTTCGCATTCGGCATCGCTTATTCTGACATTGTGCCCGCAAGTAAAGTGAAGCAATGATGGCCTTTGGGGCGAAGCTTCCGACGGTTGGTACTGCGTCAGGATGCACGAGGCCGAAAAGCGAGGGCTGGGGCTTTGCGAGCATGCCAATCACTCATTGTCATTGTTGCGCGAAGTGATTGTCACGTGTCCACACCGTGGCAATATCGCCTCAGCCAAATGAACATCGCTGTCTCGGCTTTGATGATTGTTGAGCAGGGCACGGTCTATCACCTGTGCTCGGCTGCGACCGTGCCGTGTTGAAGGACCTCGGCGGTTTTGAGCAACACCCCAACCTGGCGCATCACTACCGCCGATATGGCACTGAGATATGCTGCAATTACAGACCTCCCAACGACGCGTGGGCAGGGTTTGTTTTGGAACTTCGTTCCATAAGCTTCTGCGATCAATCGCCAACGCTTTCGCAAAGCAGCTTCCCACAAACTCTTGTCGACTTTAGCAACAATCTGAAAAATAGCTGCTGAAGCTGCAAATGGATGAATGAAACATGTAGTGCACCCAGCTGGACGAGCTAGACCTGTGAGGGCGTGAATCCCGAAAAACGATGCAGAGGCATCGTCCTGCAGTCACGCTACTACGAACTGTTACGAACCACTCTCTTCAGCGACGATCGCCTCTAGAGGCTTCACGCCATCGGAAGGGGTGTTCCCCAGCGCATCCGCATCTACCAACCGCCGATAGTTGCACTCGCAGTTGTTGATGGACTCCTCGATGTATATAGGGCGTGGCGTATTTGGGGCTTGGGGCTTCATGCCGTGGGAACTCGGAGATGGCAGTGTCGACGGACTGAATATCACGCAATCCGCAACCTCAAACGAAAAGACCAGACCCGACATTCCACTAGTCAGACCCACTCTCAACTCGAATCCTGAGCAGTGTCTTCGCTTCGACCTCCAAACTCGCTGACCTCACAAACCACCTCTAATTGTCCCAGTCTTTTAACCCGAATGCATACACGAACATCTCTGTCCTGGTAGGAGATGTGTTTCTGCACTTCCTCCAGCTGCCTCCTGAGTTTTTGTCTCTCCTCCGCTCTACTCGACTCCTCCTTCAGGCGGCTGTTCGCCTGCTTCCTCTCCTTCAAGGATCGGCAACGGCTTTTGCTTTTTTGTTGAAGGCTAGAGGCATCGGGATCCAAGGTTTGGGCTATTAGCGTTGGGCCTTTTGACAAATCAGCTCCGGGTCTCCTCCAACGTCTGCTTGGCACCAGCGATCTGCGCGAGAAGCTCCTGCGAGGTCGCCATGTTCGGCCAAGCCTCCCTGTTCGTGTAGCTGCCTACACTACGGGTGGACACTTTGTGTGTCGTGCGAGCCAAAGCAAAAAGAGAAGCAGTCAGGAATGTGAGCTCTGGAGGTTGGATCAGAAGCATGTATTGAACCGAAAGGGCACATAGCTTGATGATCTACTGACCTAGGGCCCATCTCAAAAGCACGACAGCTCGGCCGCAAGCCCGTTGCCCTGTGGTCGGTGGTCTCAAGGCAGACAGGTGCGTGAGCACCTAGGCGAAGATAACGGCAGAAATTGACTCACATCAAAAGCTCTCAAAAGCGCCGTGGCACCAGTGGGAGCAGCAGCAACAACAGCAATAGCAGGTAGTTGTAGTAGTCGTCGTCGTGGTGGTAGTAGTAGTCGTCGTCGTCATCATCGTCGTAGTAGTGGTAGATATACCGGTAGAAGTCGTGGTAGTAGTCGTCGTCGTAGTAGTAGTAGTGGTAGCAGTAGCAGTAGCAGTAGCAGTAGCAGTAGCAGTAGTAGCAGTAGGAGTAGTAGTAGTAGTAGTAGTAGTAGTAGTAGTAGTAGTAGTAGTAGTCGAGTCGTTGTAGCAGTAGCAGTAGCAGTAGCAGTAGCAGTAGTAGTAGTAGTAGTAGTAGTAGTAGTAGTAGTAGTAGTAGTAGTAGTAGTAGTAGTAGTAGTCGCCGTAGTAGTAGCAGTAGTAGTAGTAGTAGTAGCAGCAGTAGTAGTAGTAGTAGTAGTAGTAGTATGATGCGACGACAACTGCAACTACCACGTGCTGCCCAAGCCTCCCGTCGCCAGTATGTAATAGGAAACTGCTGTCCAACAGGAAAATCCAATCTATACAATAGGAAACCATTGTGCAATAGGAAAACCATCGTAATATCCAATGAACAACCACTGTCGAGTAGGAAAACCATTGGTCAGTGGGAAATTTGAAAACCATTATCCAATAGAAAACCATTGCCTAATAAAGCAGGCAAGCAGGTTTACCAATAAGACCCTATCTATCAATAAGAGCCTTTGTAGAAGAACGGCGGCATGAGAATTCGTTCTGATCTCCCAGTATCAGCAGCACTAAGCAGGAGTGGTGTGGATAGTAGTCGCAGCCGCAGAAGAAGTGGCACGAGTGGGAAGAGTAGAAGCGGCACAAGCAGTAGTAGGTGCTAGCCGATAGGATACAGGAGGAGACGCTACCACGGCAAGAATCTGAAAATCACAACACGAAGCAGTCACCGGTGCCAGCTCGCGCTTACCTACTACTACTGCTACTACTACTTCTACTACTGCTACTGCTACTGCTACTACTACTACTCCTCCTCCTCCTGCTGCTGCTGCTCCTGCTCCTGCTCCTGCTCCTGCTCCTGCTACTCCCACTACTACGAATACTCTTACTACTCGCACTACTCCTACTACTCCTGTACTACTACGAGGAGGGGTGTTTGGTAGCTCCGGGGGCACCTACTACTGCTGCTACTACTACTACGACCACCACCGCCACTGCCACTGGCACCTCGACTACTGCTCCTACTGCTACTGCTACTGCTACTCCTACCGCTACGGCTACTGCTGCTTCTACTGCTGCTTCTACTGATACTACCACAACCCACAACTACTGCTACACTCCTCCTCCTACTGCTGCAGAAGCGGCCGCGCTGGTGCCTTGTAGTGCTAGTGATAGCTGCTGTCGTCTTAGCAGAAGCAAAAGAATACTTGCCACCGTCGAGACGGATCAAGAAACTACAGGAACAGCGACGATTGCTGTTGACACAGAGTTTAGCGCTCGGTGCCGGACATCTGCCAATGCCGAAACGAATCCTGGACCGGCAGTCGCAACCTGTGCCGAGGTGCTTTTTTCTTGATGTCTCAAGGCTTTGAAGCCGAAGATGCTCTGCATGCAACATGCAGCTTTGCTGCAGATGTTGGGGTGCAATGTGTCTACAAGTCGCCCTGCTCCAGCACTGGACCTAACCATGATGCGAGCGATTTGTCGGGGATGCTGCTCGATGCTGTAGGTGTCTACAATTTGGGGCCATTGCCTGCTGCCCGGGATCATCGTAGGGGAGTTCTTCCTCCTGTTCCTCTTCCATCTCGATACCTGGGAAGATGGTGACGGCGACTGCTACTGCCTCTGCAAGGGTCTGACAGATCCAGATAAGAGCCACTCCGGTTACAGTGATGATTACACTTGGCGCAGGTAGTCTTTCCGCCCTCACACCTTTCATGTTCTTGCGTGGCTTAAACTGCTTGTTCGGATAAGTTATGCGGATGGTACAACCTCTGCGGCAGAGATCCGCAACCTACGTCCGAGCTTCCGGGCCGGTAGTGCCGCTCAGCCGGCACAACCAACTCTGCGTCCCGGCCTCAGAGCTTCGCCCAAAGCTCCCATCAGACTCCAAACTCCAAGATGCAGAAAAACACCTCTGTGGCAAAGCAAGCGCTTGCACCTGAACAAGCTCACACAGCACAGTGTGGCAAAGCACAGCAGACTGCCACAGACGATTGTCGCATGCAGTAAACCTACTTGACATATTGTGCAAAGTAGCCACATAAGTGTCAGAAGCACATAGGATGCCACATCATCATAGGTATTAGCTGCCACAGTGATACTTTGCATCATCGACACATAACTTAAGATGCCTTGCAGCGGGACATAGAGTTGCTATAAACGTTGCATCATATAAGTCATTGTCATGTAGCAGTGTCATGCACTACCTGACATAAGAATCTTCCTTCAATCCGCAGCGAGGCAAAAAGGCTGCTGCTGAATGTACTGCGTATGGCGCAAACATGCGACCAGACACTAGACAAAGGCACAGCCTGCCCTACTGGCGAATGAAATGTACACAACTTACACATGGGACTGTGCTGTGCAAAAAACATGTGACGTGTGCACATGAAGGGGACATTGCATGTAAAGAAACTCATACAACAAGCAAAACGGAGCATGCTAAAATGGTCCACTTGCCCGGAGCTTTGGTCATGTGGCCTGACATCGTGAAGAGCATCAAGAGCGACTCTAGGGTGTTCGATCCCGTCCCTAAACAAGCCTCATTCTTCCGGACCTACAAAGAGCAACACCCACACAGTGACCTGAACTGAAAGCATTCGAATGCTGTCGCCCACGACAAAGATCCCCAGCCAAGGCAAGCACCCATGTGGGAGCTTTGCTGGAAAACCAAGCGTACTGTTAGTTGAGCCAGAGCAGCAACGGGGCAAACATAGCCCAATGCGATGGATCCTGCCCGAAGCCATAAACCCGAAGTTCAAAGCTCCAAGCACAGGTCTGACGCTTATTAGATAATGTCCTGTCACATCGAGATCTGGGACAGGTTTCCAGTGGACCTTCTTTTTGCCAAGATGGGTTCGTCGAACCCGACGTTCTGCCCCTAAGACCGAGGCGGCTTCAGGCGACTGAAAACCTCGGTGTTCAAAAGAGCTACTGGGCATCCAGCCTTCGTGGGCCCTCAGAACAACATGTTGGCATCCTCCACGCTGAAGCAAAACCTCCCCCCATAGGAAGACAAAGCCTTTGATCAAAGACCCAGTCACAGGTGAAGGAATCAAAACAGATTGCCGAACACAATCACAAAAACTTGGCAAAGGTTCGCAGATCTTGTCTCCGCGTTTTCGCAGAATGGCAAAAAGTTGTAACAAACAGGAAACTTGCCTCACCAGGTTGGGTTCGGAGTGGAGTTGTCTCCTGCACTGCCCTGGCCTGCAAATGTTTTGCAATCACGTGCAAACTTCATCCCCAACCTGTGCAGCTCTTTCCACAGGTGAGATGTCCGTGCCAGTTTGGTGGGTGACGCGGTTCTTCCTCTGCCACCGTCATGACTGCGATCAAAGCGCGCCGGACATCTTCAAATCACTTGAGCTGTGTGGCCAAAGGTATAACCCGGTAAAGCTTGCAAGCAAAAGGCAAACACAGTGCAGAGATTTCGCGTCATGCTCTTCGTTCCCCAACGCCGGCCAGCTCAACAACACATCAAAGCTTGCTCTGTACAATGCCGCCAGCTCCCACAAGCATGACAGCTCTGCGCAAGTGATGGACCTCCTTGCCTAAACTGCCACTGGTGAATGAAATGCACCTCCGAAGCAAGCAACCGGACATCTCGTGTATTGCCGGTCCCAACTCGCTAAGAACAAAGAAATTGGATTTATATGCGATCTCTATAACCACTTGGGCGCTTTGGGCGGGAGGAGTCATCGGCAAATGATGTGAGCGGAGATGTTCTCGCCACATTATCCTCAGAGGGCCTCTACAGCACCCTTGGGGGCGGCCCATGGGAGTGCTGTGATTTCCCTACATCCAGAAAAGCAAAAAAAGGCGATTACGTGTTGGGTTTCGGGGCTTTGGGCTTTGAAGCTACTCCCTCATCTGCTTGATCATCAACTGCTCCAAAGTCATCAAAAGTAGCATCTGCCGCTGGGTTCCTCTGTGGTGGCATTGAAACATTCTGTGCTTCTCCGCCAAATTCTCGAACCAAAGAAAAATGCAACCGAATTCGCCATGCACGACTTCAAAGGACGGGCCATTTTCAGCATGTAGTATCTTGCTTTGCCAAAAAGCATAAGAAGTGCTGCATGCCGAGCTCTCTTTGGGCGACCGCGTCAAAGGCAGTCACAGCAGCTGATCTGCAAGGGCTCGAAACATACTGAATCTGCTTTTGACACCCCCTCGCCTTTCGCAGCTACGCCGCGAGCCTCAGCAAGTGGGGTCGTCCAAGCCCATCTCGACCAACAAACGGTGCCCGTGACGCGACCTCTGGAGATCGATCGAGGAGGCCTGACACAGCACAGCCAGCTCGTTCGTGCTTCTTTGCTTCTTGAGCTCTTCGGCTCCGAACAGGGGTTAAAGCTAAACAATAAAAAATCCGCAGCGCAAGATGACCGAAACGGCATAGAAGGGACTCCTACAGCAGACAGCTCGTATGAAATGCAGGCACTTTGGTTCGGTCTGTCAAACCCGCAATTTCTCGTTGAAGGCCCCAAAGCCTGGATCCTGGACATCGCTTCCCGTGCATCCACCCGGTCGTCATGCAGGAGTGACTTCGCGACGTAGCACCCAAACTGGGACCTCCACGGCAAATTCTATGGTCAGACAGTTTATGGCTGAAGAAACTCGCGGATTGCTTGAGAGTTTCAGGACGCGTGGAGGCTTCCTGAAGCTCTTAGCAGCCTGAACCTATGATGCTAGCGGCAAAACAACAAGGCAACACATTCGGCTTCAGCAACAGCAAAAACGACAGCAGTAGCAGCTGCAACAACAGTAGTCGAAGTAGCAGTAGCAGTAGCAGTAGCAGTAGTAGTAGTAGTAGTAGTAGTAGTAGTAGTAGTAGTAGCCGCCACGGCTCAGACGTTTTGGAAGTTTCGCGCTGGCTTTCGAGCAAGCTTGCTAGAGGTCTCAAACAGGCCTCTCTCCGAACGACTAAGGGTTGGTTCCTCACGCTGAGCCATGTGCCATGTGCCAACAGTTTGCGTCTGAGCCGCCAGGTCCCAATTCCTGGACCCAGTACCCTGTCTCAACACGGGCCCACTGGGCAGGCGGTAGGGTTTCCACTAGCCGCGCGGTGGAGGGAGTCACTCGGCTTGCCTTGTGACGAAATAGCGGATGGCGCTGCTCCCAGTGCACTCACAAAATTATTCTCAGATCAGGAAGAATTCTTTAGGTGGCTGCAAGCCAGCAGCCTGTTTCTTACCGAGGTCAGGTTCTGACCCCAGCTCTTCTCAGGCGCATGGGCAACTGCCCACCGCAGCCAGGCTCCAAGCAGTCTTTTGCACCACGATCTCGGGCAGGACAGGCCACCAGGCCTCTCCGAGTACTGTCCTGGAATGCAGGCCATCTTGGCCAGCAACAATGGTCGGAAGTCAAATCATGGCTCTCCACTGAGGCACGCCACACCTGTGATGTGTTCGTCCTGCAGGAGACCCACTGGCAGGCTACGGCCGAATTTAGTGTTGCAGGCTGGTACTGCATCTCGTCTCGTCTGCTTCCGCTGCAGATCCGAAGGCCTCCAGACGAAAGCAACGCGGGGGCAAGGCCCATAAACAGTCACCTGCAGAGGCAATGCCTAATGACGATAAGATGACCCCACCCCGCAAGGAGCCCTCAACAACTCGCGCGGACGGGGTTATGGTTTTTCTGTCCCCACACATACTGCCCAAAAGTGTGCGCTGGCAGGAACATGTCATAGGCAGAGCCCTGGAGGTCAGGTTTGACTGGCACGGGGCCCGCATCAACCTGGTTGCTGTGTATCAACACGTCTGGTCACCGGCCAAACAGGTGCAGACCAATCGTCAGGACAGAGCACACGTCCTGAAGGCTCTTAGCAGATGTGTGCAACGCGTGCCGCACAGGGACACGCTTATCCTGGCAGGAGATTTCAATAGTTCCTTGCAAAAGCAGCCCAGGCTGGTAGGTCCCGAGATCTGATGAGCCAGAGCTCACCAACTTTCTGCTCAATCATCGCTTGGTTGCTCTCAACACGTGGAGGCCTCAGCCGTCACACACGTTTCAGCAAGGGGACACACGCGCTCAAATTGACTTTGTGCTTACGAGGGAGGTCTCCGCTGGTGGCAATGCCAAAGCCTCTACGCCGATGGCGGGATTCCCGCTGGGCAGCTGGAAAAAGGGCGGGCATCTGCCAATCAGCGCCACTGTCAAGCCAGTTCGGCACTGGAACTTGCCTGCCCCTCAGCTTCAGCAACACCAGTACGACTCTGCTGCCCTGCAAGCTGCTGTCAGGGACAACACGCTGCCAGCTCAGCAAATGCTCGAGTGGGTCAAAGCACGCCTCACCCCGGACTGACATGCAGCCGGCGTCATGGGATCGCCTCCTTGGTGAAGCCACATCCAGGTTTTTCCCTAAGACCCCGGTGGCAATGCCAGAAAGTCCGGAGACGCGCCTTGCCAGACGCATGTGGCGCTCAGCGCGAGGGAGCAATGCTCACCTCAGTGCGGAGCCATTGCCGGATGCTGAAGCCCGGCAGAAGCTATGTGATCAGCATAAACAGGCGGTCAAGCAGGCTCGCAAAGACCAAGCCAAGCGGTTTCTTGCTGAGGTGGATCAGGCTCTGAGTCAGGGCG